CCTTGAGGCCAGATGTCACTGACTGATTTACAGCTTCCTGGGGGGAGGCGTAGATCCTGTTTTGTCAGTGTAGGCACCGAATTGCTTCACATAGCTATTTTGAACTAGATTAATTGCTGATGTATTGTCAGCAGAGTTGATTCACATCTCAGCTCAGAAATATGGAAAACTGTCTTTAAAATGTATTAACTTGAATTCTGAAATAGAGGAAAAAGAGCATAAAGAATACCTTTGACTCAGTGAACTTTTGTCTCATTTAAGGACCAGTGGTTAGAATACTCCTGCCTAGGAACATGCACATGGGCTTTCCACGTACATCATTGGCAACTGAGAAACATTCTTCAGAGGCCAAGTTTAGTCCCTCCTTAATCTTCACTCAGATTTAAACATTAATACAAATGTGTGTAGTGAAGGCATTCAGAAGCCAGTTCTGCCATCTTAGTCACACTGCACGGATCATGTATCTGGATTAAGTTTCTACGTGCCTCATAACATCCCTCAGTCCTTTGGACCTTGTAGATAGTATTGTTACAAAACAGGGCAGCAAATGTATTCGAAGAGCTGTCAGCAGCCTCCCAGAAACCTGGCTGGTGAGAACACTATTGGGCGATGTCTTTTGAGGCGGGTAGAGTGGATTCAGTGTGTTTGCATCTGTTGGGAGACTAAAGAGAGGAAAAAGCTGGGTTTGAATAAGGATGCGGCAGTGTTTCTCTGACCATTAGTTATTCATTCAAATTTAACCACATGAAATACAGGCACCTAACAAACCATATCTTGTAAATGCCTTTTACTCCAGCAAGTGAAATTCAGAAGATTGGTAGGTAAGCAGCTGTGCATGCTTAGCATGAATGGCAAAGTAATGTCAACTCTATATTAAATATTTTGTTTCATAACAAACATCACATATGAGAAATCTGTGCAGGTCTCTGAAAGCGTGAGGCCCTATGACATCCAGTCAGAAATTACACAGATGATATGAATATGGAGAATAACACACAAACACATTTTTAAATGCATCTGTCATCCATATAAAATCAAATCCATATCCCACTGAAGGACATTGAAAAGCTTTGAAAGATGTTGCAAGGCTTTAGAAATGGTCCATGCTGAACTTGGGATATTTTTCCAATCCTTATAAATAATTATTTTCTTATGTTTGCTAAGATTAGCTACAGAGAATTTGTGTTAAGTCTCTGTGGACAGGAGTACGGAATTTCAGATTATACCGAGCTGAAAAGGTGGTTTAAAAATGTCTCTGTGATACAAAAGCCTTGTATCAAAGAAGCAAATACACCACCACCCCAGTCTCTTTTCTCATTTAAGAAATAAATAAGCATACACTGTAAATTCTAATTTTCAGCAAGTATGTTAGCAAATCCATACTGACCTTGACCTCAGCTTTGCTAATTTTCAAGCCCTGACATTTATTCCCTGAGTAGATTGGTTCCCTTCGTGCCACATGCATAAATACTGCAAACCTTTCCAATGTCTCGAATTAGAGTGTAAGTAAATAGCTGGTTTTAATCTACATAATATTTTGAGAGCAGACGTTCTGTGCTATGACTATTAAGATATACCCAGCAGCCATTTGTATAATACTAAAACCTCTTACATATATTATTAAAAGTAATGCTATCAGCCAGGGCTTGTTTTATGCCACAGAAACTTAAATAATAAAATACAGTGTGGATAAAATCTGCAATAATAGTAACTTAAGCAAAATTAATTCAAGTAACAGATAACATCTGGGGAAAAATGTAATGGTATATTGGTAAGTTATGCAAAGCTAATTTTATAATAACTACCACATCTGTGGAACTCATTTATTAGAATGCTTTACCAATCTTCTTTCCTGCCATTACCCTGTTTTAGAAATGTTCCTGTATGCTATTTTACTCATTGCTCTGCCTACATTTGTAACAAGGCAATTTGCTAGCCCTCAGCAAAGAGGTAAGTCTGCAGGCTTCTGTGCTGCACAGTCTGACACTTTGCTACTTTGGCCTTTTTAATGCAAACTTTTCCTAGAAAGAATTCTGGGGAGAAATGGCGGCGTGTGGGCATAAGTGCAGGGCGGTGTTTGAGCAGGGGCTGCAGCCCTCAGCTGGGACTGTGCTGGGACTGGGTGGGAAAGTAAGGGCGGCACTGAGCGATGCTTCCCACGTGAACCGCTCTGAGGCCGGAGCAGCCTCCAGCCTGTGCTTGACAGCGTGGTTTGAGGAGCCTTTTGGCACCCGGGAGTTAGGTGCTGTGCGCCTGATGCTGCATTTAACTCCGGCTCCTCTGATCCCTTTCAGAGCGTCCCTTTCCCTGCAGCTGACACCGATGTGTCCTCTCTGTGCTCTGCCTCGCCATTTCTTTCTGCCTGAGTTCTCCTGGACCGCTAGACTGCAATGTGCCTGACAATATTGCCAATTAATCTGAAGGCGTTATCGTCTTGCCAAACTGTTTCTCACATTTCAATAGTTACATTGATTCAAAAGGACGCTCTGAGTAATACATCTTTGTCATAGTGAATAATGCTCAGATAATGACAAATCTTCAGGAATTAAAAAAATGGAGTATGAATTATTTAATGTAGGTCAGTGGAAGTAATTTGCCACAGATTTACCTGGACTTCAAAAATTAGCAACATTTTTTTAAAAGCTGGCTTTAACTGTGTAAAACTTACTGTGTCTCCTTCCCAGTTTTTAAATGGATTTCACTGCAGCGCCAATGGTGCTATTAAACATGAGGTTTTGTTCAAAGGAAATACAAAGACTTAATTGTATTTTTTAAAGGAAAGTATTGCATCAGAAGGATTCATTTAAATACGTTGGTTGGCTTCGGGCTCTCACCGCAATTCATTTGTTCAGATTTTCCCCTGGACTTGTTAAGGACACAATGTATAGGAGGAACAATGCAGAATGGCATTTTTAGGTCACTATATTTTGGCTGTAAAATGTAGTGCTGCTCATAAACTTACTACTAAACAGAATATTTCATATTCTGCATTGCAGTTTCAGAGACTTTTGAAAAACTTTTGGCTGAATATTGAGACTATTATGGCTCATTAAAGAGCCTAGTTCTGCTGTAATTTAGTTATTTCTTAATGATCCAAGGGTTATTATTAGACACAGAACAGATGAATAAAGAATGGCTCTCTTTAAAGGGATGCACTGAAGTAAGAATACTGTTCTAAAACTGTATGTCTGGAAATCCTGTCCATACTACAGAAATGTATTAGAATAGCTAGGAATTGGTTTTAAAAACCTCACCTACGTATTCATTTATCTATCTATCTATTTATTTATTTGTTTTTTAGACCAAAGTGAATAAGTTGAAAATGTTTGAATCTAAATAAAGACCATAGTAGAAGTGAATAGTTAGCTAAATGACCAAAAGAAGTAGTTATAACAAAGCAGAAACTACTTGTGAATTCTCATCCAATTTAGCAAATATTTTTCAGTGAGAAAATACAGGTTGAGAAATCAGAGAATGCTGAAATACTTGCTAAACCAAGTTTTAAACAACATTGGAATTCGAAAACAAAGCTTCTGGTTCAGTTTAGAAAGAACAGCATTTAGTTCAGCAAAGGGTTTTTCCATTTTGATGAGAAAACCTAAACTTTCTATTTCCTTTGTCAGTATTTAGACACTAGCAGAGTGCTGTAAAATGTTGGGTCACAGGTGTTGCTGAAAATGATTTTGTCTCTATAAAATCTATCTTTTTCCTCACTTAAGTTCTTCCTTCCTTTTTGGGCTCTTAGAAACCTGGAATAGCAGTGTCCTTTTTGGGCTAGCTGATACATGGCAGAGAATCCTGAAGATAATGGCGGTGTCCAAACATCACCTCTGAAATGCTTTTTGGACTACGAAATAAGCTTTTAATACAATAAATTAAACTGACAAGGTCATCACTGTTTCTTTTTTCTTTTTTTTCTTTTTTTTTTTTTCACCGTAAAAATTATGGAATCTTTCATATTTTTTAGCGTATTTAACTATAGCAGGTAACTGTAAATGAGCCAAACACCAATCTAGCTGTGATTTCTGAGGTATGAGGAAATTTAATTTATGGGAGCTGCAATTACCCTGATGTGAATTAATGCAGCTGACTTGCACCATGCAAGCAAAATCCTGTTTTGTAATAGCTGACTCAGAACTGGAACATCTGCCTGGTATTCTCAGTGGGCACTTCCCTTTGCAGAGGCCCAAAACATACCATTAGTATACTGTTTCTTAGTCGTTCAAAAGTGCCTTCTGACACCCTGATTGACATGTCACACAAAAAAAGAAAAAAACAGAAACACAAAACCTTGGTCCCTTAGAGGACTCCAGGCAGCATTCTGCATCACTTGAGAGAGACCGAATGAGGATGAAGGACAAGTGCTACATCCAGGTACTCCAGGAGAGAAAATGTCCTTTCCTTACCTAAGCATTCCTGGAGCAGCAGTTCAAACACCAGCATAATTCCAGCAAAGTGTTCCCATGAGCACAGGACTGAGAAATGGGGGCAAGAAGTTGATCTAGCAACAAAAATTGGACCGTCAGTGATTCTTAAATTACAGTGACATATTAAAATGTTTGATGCAGTGTTGCTACAACTTTACTGCAGCACATTGAATGTCTGGAGGGTTCTTTGTGAAGGTCAGGAGGGTCTTTGATTCCAAAAAACAACAAGATCCCTGTTCAGGAGTGAAATTTGCATTGTGAAGACTGCACATTATCTAGGCATTGTGTTTTCTAAATGTAATTATCCATATGAGTAAGAAGCTGTAGTGTTATGAAATTATGAAAATCATATGTTCTTTCCCAGTGTTATAAACAGGTTCTCTTGAGATGCAGCTAGAAATTAAAGTTGATCTATAATCATTTTTGGTATGCTTTCCAGTTATTAGCACCTGGAGAGTAACATGCACACAGAAAGATATTATTTTTTGTAATTTTCCAAGCAATAATTAAACTTGAATTACTTTTTCTTTCTTTTCCTTTTTTTTTTTTTATATTATATGTATCTACTGGCAGTATATAGTTGAACTTGCCCCACCTGCAGTTACCCCCTTCCCTGCTCCATCTGAGGAAGGTACATCTGATATCTATGCATCACTCTCACCATCACCAATAGCTGCAGATATAGAACCTAAGGTATGGAGTTTTGCTTACTTTTTTTTTCCCCCAGCTGTTATTCTATGACTCTTTCACCATGTTTATTGCTTTTGGTGCCCAGTACTATTTTCTCCAGAATGCATTCACTTCTAAAATAAGTGCTTGAATGAAATTGCTTTTATTGCATTAACCAGTCAGCAAAGGAGGACTTCTATTTGAGTCAGCACCTCCGGCTGCCATCCCATGCAGCTTCATAATCTCAGCATCTGCCTGGCCTGGGCAGTGAAGGAGTGCTGCTGGCTGTGTCAGTAAAGTTCTCAAAAGCAGGCTTTGTGTATCGTTTCACGTCTTTGAGCTGACACTGGTCTTATAGAAAATGGGAGGATGTTCTAATTCACATATTTTTTATCGTTGATTACTGCTAGGGGTCTGATCAAGAAGGTCTTCTGGGAGAGCCCAGCCCAGAGGCAGAGTGCTTTGAGGCAGGTGCTGTGGCTGTTTTCACTGGTGAAGATCAGAACCTCACAGTCCTTCCGAATCCCAAATGAAACTATTGGCAACCTTGAGGTACTATTGCTAAAAAAGCTTTTCACTAATTCTATGGTAATTAGCTAGCTCAGCTTTAATGAATATAAACTGTATTCATGCTAAAGCTGGCAAAAAGCACATCCATATGCCATAAGAATGTGAATTAGCCTCTATAAATAGCTCCTAGTTTAGTCAGCTTACATGTGATAAGATAAAAAATATTCAGTAATATAACAACATATATCTTCAGCATCACCATGTGTTAAAGAAACATGGGCCAAATCCTGCTCTGGGAGATGTCAATGATAAAATTCCTTTTCCAGAGTTCAGGATCAGCTTCTGGGATGGAGCATATGCAATATGTGCTTAATAAATAAGTGGTTAGATGCACCTATGTTACACATCCTGCAATTCTTATCAGCAGTCACACACTCACACCAGTTCTAGACCTCAGTTGATTGACGCCTAAGTGTTCAAGAGCTGTCTTAATGGAATGGATCAGGTTCCAGAATGTGATTTGCAGACTGTGAGGAGTCTGTGAGTTACTTCTTCAGGGTTCATGAAATGCAAGTAAGCTATTGTTAGTAGGCTTAAATTGTGGTAGGGTAACCTGCTTTTCTGTAGAGAGATCTGTAAATTGAAAGTTCTGGAAAGCCAGAAGAGAGCCAGAAGGGTGACCATTGTTATTTTGTAACTGCTTTCTCCAGCATATGAAATTATTGAAAGTAAGCCAACTGGAATGTGGCTAGACCATGAAAATGTTGCGTGTGTTTATTTCAGCTACCAGGTGGCATTAAAGACTTTAAACTTCATGCGTTGTTACAGTTTTAGATAGAACACAATGAGCACTGTAGGCTGAGCAGAAATGTATTAAATATGTAATATTATCTGGAAATAGTGGATTTATATGGATTATATATGAACTGGGAATATCAGTTGGAACAGTGATACATCATTAGATCTACCTACTTGATTTCACATTCACTTTCAGTGTGTCTTTATAAATGAGAGAGAACCTAGCCAGTGCTGTATATTTCCTGTCCTACAGAACAAATGAAATGCATGATTTTCACCTGACCTTGATTTCATTAACATCACTGCTAAGAGCTTTTCTTCTTTACAAAATGTGTGGAAATTAGAGAAATGTATTAGTAAGTAATAGCAGAGATTTCTGGGATGCGCAAGCCAAAACATTCCTAAAGTGGCAAGTTACTGCAAGTTACAGCAAGTTTTCTGGGACAAATCCATTTACTGTATCAAAATTATATGAAACACATTGAGAGTGTGTCTCTAGACTCAGATCAGATTTAGTGGAGCCTTTGAAGGACCTTTTGGCCATTTCCAGTTGTGTCAACAACTTTCACGATTCTTGGAAGGACTGTCTCATTTCACTCCTGTTTCTCTTGTCTCTTTGCAGTGATGTATGCTGATTCTGAAAAAAGCATATAAATTCCCCAAGAAACTCCAATATTTGTGGTCTTCATTCTAGTGATTCCACATTTCTAAATGCTATCAAATCAACGATGGCTACACTTTATCACTACTATAGATTTCCCTAAAATGTCTTAGTACCTTTGTGCCGTCCCCTATAAATACTGCATTGCAAATTAAGTGCTCAGAATCTACAGCAGTCTGGATTTCCAGAATATGATACACATTCATAATTGTGTTTGTAATTAAGAAAGACAAGCAACAACACAGGAATATGTTTTTTATTGTTTGTTTTCAGTAATGCTTTCTAATTCCAGCAGTTTCAATAAAATGTATTACACTAGAGAACAAACAGCTGCAGCAAAGGAAAACAGTGAAAACAACCAAATCCCAAAGCAATTTTTCTGATTTGGTGTTTATTGGTAAAGGCTGTCTGAGAACACAGGTAAATTAGCCTATCTCTCAAGACAAGGGTAGACGAGAAATGGCTGTCCCAGATCACTTCCTGTCCATGGCACACACACCATATTTGGGGTCGCACACAGTAGTACGATAAAGTGTTATCACATAAGTACAGGCTGCAACACCGTTATGTCTGCACAACACGAGGGTGGGTAGGATAATGTCTGTCTTACTGCACTGCACTGTGTCAAAACCACAAAGACAATGTGCAGCCAAAGATAGCTCCAGCATAATCACCTTCTTTTTCTTCTGATTTTCTTTATAGGCAGACTTAAATGAAAAGCAGCAAATGCAAGAAGCTTAAACTTTGAGGACAGAAAAATTAAAAGATCTTAACTAGCCAAATGAGAAAGATGATGCTGTATTTTTCAGAAACTGAGGTTTGGTAGGTGATGCGCCAAACGTCATTATTTTGGTGTACAGGAAAATGCTTCACTTAACTGTTAACTAGAAATAGTTCATTTCAGTTCCTCAAATTTACTCTCTTCTGCCAGTGTTGTTGTTTAGCTTAGACTTAAGTGGGAGGCTGTAAACAGAAGGATATGTAATTCAAGCATGTTGAAGTTCAGTTTATTTCTGAAGGGAAGTCTGGGAAGTCTCAATTAAAAAAAAAAAAAAAAAGTTTCATTCTCTTTCTTTCTTCCAGTTGTGAAATATTTAACAGTTTCTGCTTTTTCAGGATACTTTGCTAGAAGGAGAATACAGACAGAGAAAACATCACTTGAGGTATTGCAGATGCAGTAAGGAGAGAATTTAATTGATATGTAATTAAACACTTCCCACTATAGTTATTCATCAGCAATATTTTTCATTTTATTTTAAATCACTTGCTAAACTTTCAAACTAATTTCTTTCTTTTTTTTTTTTTTTTACTTCTCCCAAAGTAAAATTGCGTAAAAGAAGAGTTGGCACTTCTACAGTTGTCCCACAAAGACTGCCTTTTGATTTCCTTGGAATGTTTTCTGGAATGCATGTAACCTTTCATCTGAGAATGCATTTCCCACTCCTCTGTATGCTAACATGCTTCCATATTTTCTCAGACACAGAAATGCTTTAAACAAAAGAGGAATCTCACTGTAGCATAAATCACATAAGAAGAACTGTTTTAATGTCTATGTTTCTAAATCATAAACTCTACAAAATGTTATGTTACAAAACTCTGTGCCCTAGAAAGCATGTTGAATACAAACCATGCTTTCAAGTGGGAAGGCTGGCCCACGTTCCTAATGGAATATTCAAGAAATAGAATGTTACATTAATTACATTTTTTTTTTTTTTTTTTTTTTCTCATTAAGTAAAAAGTTAGGTTTTGTTTCACTTCACACCCATTTTCAGGATGATAATGAAAAAGGGTTGCAAGCCTGACCCATCCCAGGCAAAAAACCAAACCACCCTGAAATAGCGTACCTGGAGGCCTCGTTTGCTGCTGCCTGCCCTGCACAGCCAGGAGGGGGCATTGCCTGCACGTTGTACGCCAGAAGGAGCTCCAGCGCTCAGGGCAATACCTGCTAGCTGCGTTTGGGTGCCAATAGCGTGGAAATAGTCTTCAGAGGACATGTTAGATGTGGGCGCTGAACTCTTGGAAGCAGTTGTTTGAAACGTTCAGCGGGCAGAATATTGTGCTTGGTCTCATGCATTGAGGAAAATCCTTCTGTTGCTTTGTGATCAGGAGAAGTGGGCTCTGTAACATGCTCTGTAACAATGCATTATAAGTTTTCTTCATTTTCCTATCCACTGCTGGCCAGCACGTTAATGCGGGCTTCCTTTCAGCTACAAAAGGTCACTTCCCATTGGAACACTGAAGTAATTCATGAGGAATTACTGATTTACCCTATAAAAATCTTTATAAATACCTAAGATTCATTATTATGTCCTATGTTTCTTTAGTGCTTTGGAATATGATTTTTTTTTTTCCATGAAAATTTTCTGAAATCAAGATGTCCTTTATTTTGATATGTATATTAATTTCCCAGAGCATTTTGCTCATATCATAGGTTTTTCTGGTTTTCAACTCAAAGGTAAGAACAGAGTTTCTGATAAGAGCCGTCTGTATGGAAGGGGAATTATTTTTAAAGTTTTTGCTGTTATTGGCAATTTAGCCCTTCAGTCAAATTTGCAGACTGCAAAATTCTTTCTATATGGCGAAGCATAAAGGGACCACCAGTGATTGTATCAAGATCAATGCCAAAGAAAGGCTCTTGCCTTTCCTCCCTCTCCCAGATTTTGTAGAACTGGGAAATTTTGAAGTGCTTTGAAGATGAGAATTTGTATATAAACATCAAGTATTACTGCAGTGATTTGTTAGCATTCACTCTTGGTACATATGCATAACAGCTGACATGCTGCAGAAATCCAAAGTGGAGTTCAAATCCCACAAACTGTATTTGTAGCTCTCTTCCTGCTGAGCTAATGATATTTGTAGAGCTCTTCCTGCTGAAATAGTGCTACCAATAAAAACAGCCCCAGGGTTTTTTTGGGGAATAGGAGGAGGGATGATTGGAAGGTGGAGGTGAAGGTGGGCACATGAGTAAAAGGCGGACATGACAGCTGTCTAAGCAGTCAGAGTACATGCTCTGACATGGCATATGAACATCGGTTTGAAGAATCCTTTCATGCCTTCAGAATGCTAATATGAAATGCAAAACGTCATGCTTTGGATAGATTGGTAGGAACAAAATGTTCAGATGCAATATGGTGCATTAAGTACAGATCTCCAGTCTGTATTCCTGGCTTTTCCATTGGTTTAAATCAGACTTGCTGTTTTTAAAGTCTCCCATGTCATGTTGAGTTACTGCTATAGTCGTCTCTAAAAATAAGTATACCATCATTTCTGAGACCCACCAAAAGCTGTGGCTTTGGCATAATGATCTTCAATTTTTGTTACACTGTTGATATGACAGAGTTCTTTACAATATACATACCTAGTGTAGTTCTTAACAGGTTCCCACTCTGCAAAACCTTTAAATTAAATCAGGCAGATGTTGTAGAAAAGGTGTGTTACACTGTGCCATATCTTCCAAATAAGTGGGGGTTTTCCAGGGGAAAGTGGTTAGAAGAAACACTATAGTTTTTCCTACAGAAGATATAATATTGACAATTTTTAGCATCTGCATGGTAAAATCCTGGCCTCTGCAAGGATTTTGTAATGAGATAATGAACAACTAGTAATTATCTTCTAGTACAAGGAAAGCTTTTCCAGTAGTACTTTCCTGTACTACACTGACAGAGGATGGAACTTTTGAAAGGAAAGCAGTTATTCAAATAAGAATCTGGTGTGAAAAAAGATGAGAAAGGAGGCTACAAGAGAAAATGTGTTTTTTTCACCTGTTACACAGTATTTTGCCACAACTCAGCTCTCAAGCTTTTCTTCTCTTTCTCTGCACCAACACCTAATTTGAATTTTAAAATTACCACATTGTTTCCTTCCTGAAATTGTAACTGACATTCCTAGAAAATTTGCTTTCCCAGAAAAGCATTGTGCGTAGGCTGTAAATTTAGCTTTTCACAAGTGAGGAAAAGATATTTTCTTCAATAATCTACACTGCCAATGTGACCACAAAATGTGTGCAGAGTCAGCATTTGTCCATTTAAATCAGACTTTTGAGCACATGATTCACCACCAAAATTCATTTATGCAGGTGTGGGCATTGTACTTATTTGAAAGGATTTATTCAGTTGAGTAGTGTATTATTTTCATTGAGGGATTTGGTTTTCAATTCATACTGTGTAACACAAAACTTCTTTGTATTATACACTAACATTGTGGGATATTGTTGGCTTTTGTTTGGTTGTTTTTTCATCATTGTTGTTTGTTGGCTTTGTTTTGTTTCGTTTCCCCCAATGATATATTTTAAATTTTTTCAGTTCCTATTTCTGCCTCTTAATCCTATAAAGTGCCTGGACTCTCTTGACGAGGAATTCATAGAATCACAGAATGGCTTGTGTTGGAAGGGACCTTAAAGCCCGTTTAGATCCAACCCCCCTCCATGGCCTGGTTGCCACCCAGCAGACGAGGCTGCCCAGGACCCCATCCAGCCTGGCTTTGAACAGCTCCAGTGATGGGACATCCACATCTACTCTGGGCAGCCTGTGCCAGTGCCATTTGTATGATACCACTCTCATTCTAGAGAAATTTAAACAAACCACTGTGAAAGAGTGTGCTCTGATGCTACTTCTGCTATATGGAGCCTCCGTAGTGTAGGTATAATCCCAGGCTGTCATCCAGAATGTTCAGAAGTGTGTAGAAGGGGCTGCTCAAAAGAAAGAATGTGAATGTGGACTCTCCTCCTCAGCCAGATGCTGTTTATGGCAGTGTGGATATGACAGGTAAGCTTCAGCATGCCTTACATGCATACCAAGACTGTAAAGAATTCACAGCTAATGCATGTAGGTATAGTGGTGTTTGAAAGGGATGTTTATACTCTCATTAGCACTAATGAGTGTGATGTGCCTTCCTGAAGGTGAAAGATACTGCAGGTAACTGGGCAATTCACCCTCTCTTCTCTCACTTCCCCTCATTTTAGGATGGTCTTATAGCTGCCTCTGCCACAATGTGCAACTACATCATTCTCTGGCCTGCTGGAATAGGGAGGGGTTGTGCTGAAGGTGAGGTCACCCCCACCTCTCTGCCACAATTTGCAAGGAAGTGACAGCAATGACAAAACACTCAGGCAGCAGTGCTTGCCACGAGCAACTCAGAACTGTATGTAACATTTCAACCCACTTTGTCATGGCACTTCAAGTGTGCAGAGCAAGCTTCAAACTCCAGCAGTTATGGATTCAGATTACATGTTCGTGACAAGAAAAAAAAAAGAAAAAGAAATAATCAAAGGATGGTTGCAGTGACTCATATAATTGGTAGTCCCATTCAAATGCAGAGCATTAAGCAGAAATTGGAATTAGTAATACTGCAGAAAGAACAGAATATAACATATTTGTAGATTGGAAACAGCTTGGCTTTTTACACAGTAGAATTAGTAGCCTGCTGCTTTAAAGCTTGCACTGTCACTGACGCAGCAAAGATGGCATTAAGTATGAGCTTTCTGGTTGCATGGAGTTCTGCAATTGTAGTGTTGGCTAGTTGTGCTGGTACAAAAAGGGCTGTTTAAGTGCCCTGGCAAGGTGGGATAGGGGGACCAAGAGAGGAGGCCTGTGTTTTGGTAGAACACAGAGTCTCTGAGGGAGAATGGTCCATTGTAGTCATTCTCCTTAAATGAGTGTAGTACATCTCTGTTCATGGAAAAATAGGCTATTGGGATTGTGTCAATGTGGGATGCTGGTGTGGACGATGATTCAAGGCAAGAGGTTCTTGAAGTGCTTTGAAGAATCCTCTGGATGAGCCAGTACCTGCAGTGACAGCAAAGAAGGCCTCAAGATTTTGTGTCCCTCCACTGAGGTTGGTCTATGAAAAAATCAGACTTGTTATTGAGCTCTATTTTGACCCTTTCTGAAAATGTATCATACAACTTTTTCTTAAAATTAGAGCTTTTAAACTCCAGCCAAAGCCATTTTCATGCCTAAAGAATCTGTTTTTATGATTGCACTCATCATAGTGTAAGAATTGTCATGTTTAGAGAGAATGGGATCCAAATCTCACAGGCTCCTTCCTTTGTCATTGTTTAGGAGAGATGCTTAGAGAAGGCTATGGGAATGGGGCACCCTCAGAGTGAGGGAGCCTGGCATTGCCCTTCTGTTGATCGGTGCTTCAGAAACTTGTGGAACCAAAGCATGCACCCAGTCCAAACCGTGATTTGAGTCAAGTGACATTTTCTCCATTAATTTGCCTAGTCTTTCTCTGAACCCAGTTGTACTGGCCACCATACTGTTCCATAGCAGCAGGTTCCATATTTTAACGTTTGTAATGA